GGGGGGGGGAGGCAACCTTCCCTGCTGGTGGGTGTCCTAAGGCCTTAGTCAACTCCAAGGTGCTCAGACTGGCCCCCTAGGGCTCCCCACCCTGGCCTGGCGCCCTCCATCCACCTCCACCCTCCTCTCCAAAGACACCTGAGAGCCTGACATGACGGCTTGTAGCCTCTCTGGGTCCTAGAGCCCAGTTCCACATTTGGTCTCAGTGTGGGGCTGGCCAACCTGCGGGCCACCTGGGACTCCTACCGGCCTGGTTGACGGGAAGGTGACCCGACCCACCCCTCTCCACCCGCTCCCGCCCCCCTACTTCCTGTCTCTGGCCCCTGGATTCTGTTCACAGCGGGGCTGTGCAAATACACGGACACTCTTCCCCGTCCCGGCCAAGATCCGACATGCTCCAGCTCGCCTCCAACCCCCACACCCACACCAGGGATGCTCAGCCCCCGTCCACAACTGCCCCAACCAGCACAAGGTCTTGGCCTGGAGGCGCACCTCCAGGACCTCCGACCTTGGCTACACAGCTAGGTGACCACACTCAGAGACCCTCCATCCATGTCCGCAGCTGCCTATCCCCCCGCCCTGGCCCCAACCAGCTCCCGTGGTCATATCGGGTCAAGGACCCAGCTCAGTGGCCTCCTCCCGCGCAGCCGGCCAGGCTTCCCCTAGCTCACCTGCTCCGGGACGCTGCGAGTCACCAGACACTTCCGGTCTGCGGTGCGCAGGCTTTGCCTGAGGGCGGGGCCTGTCCTGTTGCCAGGAGACACTGCTGACCAGCAGCCATGCTTTCCAATCGCCAGAGAGGAAACAGAAAGGGGTGGAACCCAAGGAGGAGTCAGCCAATGGTGAGGCAGTTCGAGGGGGAGGGGCGAAGGCGCTGGCCAGGTGTGGGGTAGCTGGAGCTGCTGCCGGGGTGTGGTGGTGGTGGTGGTGAGGGTGGATTTGAGGGGGGCGTTCCATGGTGGGCCCCCTCTGGGAGTGGTAAGTCTGAGAAAGGGCCGGAGGCGGGAGGCCATGCCTGGGGAGTCAGGGAGGAGAGGCTGGGGCGTGGGGGCAGGAGGGAGGCAGTTACCCAGCTGAAGGGAACACCGTGGTTGGAGGGGCAGGTAGGCCAGGTGTGGTTGAGGATGAAGGGGTGGGACAGAAGACAAAGACTGAGAGACCAAGGACACAGGCGATGAAGGAACCACGCCCTCCCCCCGCCCCCCTTTATGACGGAAACATCACCAGAGCAGCCTTCGACATCGTTCTCAGATAGGGTTCCTGATGCCCTGCGTGGCCTCTCAGGGACCCAGTGTCCCAGCAGAACTGCTCCGCGGGGTTTCCAGGTGCCATGCGGGGAAACAGGTTGCCAGGCCTTTCTTCCGAGACTCACCAGCGCCTCTGCCACTGTTTTGATTAGTAGCCCAGCACTTAACCATGAGCCCCACCCTGGGACTCAGAAGTCAAGCACCAGAAACCATCATCACCACCATCACCTTTGTCATTGTGTCATTTCCGGCTCAAGGTGACCCTATACGTCAGAGAAGAACTGCCCTGTGGGTTTCTGAAACTGAAAATCTGTACTGGAGCAGGAAGTCTCATCTGTACCAGGTTCATCAGCACCCACAGCCCCACGTAATTCCAGACTGAATTCTCACAGCCATGGCAGTGTGGACAGATGCTAACTGCTAGCTGCTAAAATAACATCAATGGGGCCCTGGTGGTACCGTGCATTAGGCACTGGGCTGCTAACCAAAAGATCAGGAGTTCAAACCCACCCCCTTTTCTGAGGGAGCAAGACAAGGCTGTCTGCTCCCATGAAGGTTTACAGCCTCGGAAACTCTCCTGAGCAGGTCTCCTCTGACTCCTAGTGTTGCTTTAGTCGGAATGGAGCCCGGGCTGTGAGTTTGGGTGTTTTGGTGTTTAAAGTGGTGTCACCTGGTGGCAATGTCAGAAACCGTGGTTTACCACCCCTTCTTGGAAAGTATTGCAAGTGACACCACGGTTTGGGCCCCACGGTTAGCAAGTTGGTTACATGCTGGGCTAACCAGAAGGTTGGTAGTTCGAAACCACCAGATCTTCTGAAGAAGAAAGATGTGGCTTTTTACTAACCCCCACCCCCACCCCAGGGACAGTTCTACCGTCCTATAGAGTCACTACCAGTTGGCATCATCTCTAGGGCAGTGAGTTTGGAGTTTGGTGAGCAGCGACAAGCAAGAAAGGCCTGGTGATGTGTTTTCATAGCGACTAGAGATTAGGAAAATCCTGTGGAGCAGTTCGGTCCTGTAACACCTGTCACTGACTAACCTTAAAGAGACAGGGGTGGTGGGGTGCCACCTTGTGGCAATACCAGGAGTAGCTTCCTGCTCACCTGCTTGGAAAGAACATATTCTTGAAAGTATTCTCTATTTTAAAAATCGAGACTTACATTATTTCCTAAAGGGCCCTGGTGGTGTAAAGGGATGAATCCGCATGGTGGGCAGTTCAATGAATGCTCATGGTCGGCAGTTCAAAACCAGCAGCAACTCTGAGGGCCAAAGACTGGGCTTTCTCCTCTTACAAATAGTTAGCCTCGGGACTCCACAGGGGGTCACTATGAGTGAGCATTGACTCAAGCAAAATGAGTTTGTTAGATTGGTTGGTTATATTACTTAAAGTTTTGCATATGGAGTGAGGCTTTGCCTTTTACATGTATAATATACACACATATATACACGCATTCTATTCTATAGCATTCCATATATGTAATGGACATCACTCCTGGTCAGTGAAGAAGAGGGAGACCCTCAATGATATGGGCACAGAGCTGCAGCAAAGGGCTTGAAATAACAATTGTGAGGGTGGAGGAAGGCGCCACGAGCCAAGGGACACATGTGGCCTTGGTCAGCTGAGAGACGTGAAGGAATGGACTCTGCCCTAGAGTGATGTCAACTTTCTGACCACAGGGACAGAGAGGGAATAAGTTGCTTTCTACCACGAGTTTGTTACGGTAGCAGCTAGACATATCTGTCCTGCACAGGCTTTCTGACCCTCCCTGTCCCCTCTCTCTCCCCTCCCTCTAGTAATATATTATTCAACTTGAATTTCAGATAAGCATGTGATTTTTTTAGTATAACCAGTGACGTCTAGTCTGTTCTGACTCATAGCGACCCTATAAGACTGGGTAGAACTGCCCGGTGCTTTTCCTAGACTATGACTCTACAGGAGTAGTGGTTTTGAACTGTAGTTTGCCCAACTCGTAAGCACTAACCTGCACTCATCTCCCTGTAGAGCCGTCACAGCGACACGAGCCGGGCATCCACAAGGTGGCGCTCAACACCACAGAACACCTGGCTTTGGTCCTGTTTCTCCAGAGAAAGGTTTCAGGAGCGTTTACAGACAGAGACTTAGGGAAAGAGAACTCAGGCCTTGGCCTTTGGCACCACAAACAAACCAATATTGAGACATTATCACTGAATAGAGGAGCCCTGCTGGTACAGTGGTTAGAGAAAAAGCCTGGCCCTTCTGTTCCCAGACATGGTGAAGAGTCTCAGAAGCCCCGGGGTTGAGGGCAGTGAGTTTGATGTGGCTGGTGGCACAGTGGGTTATGCATTGGGCTGCTGCAATGTCTGCAGTTCAAAACCACCAGCAGCTCTGTGGGCCTTGCTACTCCCGTCCTGCAGGGCTGCTGTGAGTCAGAATTTACTCCGTGGCAGGGAGGTTTGAGTATCACTAATAAAGCCCACATCTTCTATTTCTGTAGTTCCCCCTTCCCCCTTTTCTGCCCCCTAATGCCATCAGGATCCCATGTGTCATTTTGTCATCATGTCTCCTTAGGCCCCTCTTGGCTGGGGCAGCTTCTCAGAAGTTGTCTCTCTCTCTCTCTCTTACACACACACACACACACACACACACACACACACACACACACACACACCTGTTTTGAGGTCTTAGGTATTTTTCGAGTGGTGTTCTCACAGTACAGATGGGTCAGGGGCTGGAGGGAGAGGGGTGGGAGAGACCTGAGTTCGGGTACCCTTCTCATCATGTGATGTCACAGGTCCATTCTGCCAACACCGCCCTGGCTGGCCTCTCTACTGTCCAGTCTGCCCGGGTCTCCCCTGTGGACTTCCCCAGCTTCCTTCTTCCTGTGACCTCCTCTAGCCAGCCTGTGCTTTTCTAAATATTAAAAAATTTAAAAAGACAACACCCAAAACCACAACCACCGTTGCCTTTGAGTGGAATCAGACCAGCCGCACTCATGAATTGATAGGGTTAGGACATGATCTATTGAACCCACTGCTATTGATTCCGACCTGTAGTGCCCCCATAGGACGGAGTAGAAACTGCCCCACGGGGCTTCTGCCTTATAAATCTTTAGGGAACCAGACGGCCCCCATCTTTCTCCCTCAAGAGCAGCTAATGGGCTTGAAACGCGGACTTTTCCCCTGACAGGTTGTTTCCGGTTGTCTGATCAGGTTTAACTCATGGAAGCCCGGTTCAGACAGGGGAAAGCTGTGCTCCGCCCGGTTCACAGCGGCTGCTCTTGATTCAGTCATAGATTGCCAGCTCTTTCTTTTGAGTCTCCCAGTGGTCCGTCTGAACCTCCCACCTTTCCAGTAATGGCCAGTGTTGACCTGTTATCGCCACCCAGGGGACTCCACGGGGGCCACTGGGCCCTGCCACTTCAGGAAAGATGGGTGGAGTGGCAGAGGGGGAGCTGGTTGTAGCAGTGAAAACAAAGTGGGGGCTTACAACTTGGCGGGGGAAGGGGCAGACACTCGGGGTTTGAGAGCAGAAAACAGTGGGGGGGGGGGCTCCCTGAATACAGTACTTCTGGGGGAGTCCTTCCAGTAACAGTGGTCTTGCCGCCATTTCCATAGTCTCCCTTCCCCAACCCCCCAACACACACACCTCCTCCTTCATTTGAAATGGTACAAGGCGAGGCGGGGGCCTCCAAGCTGTGCAAACCCCCAGTGCACTCTGCTGGGTGTGAGGGGCCCCTCGCAGCCACCGGCTCACCTCACCTCACCAGTGTCGCCCGGGCTTGTCAAGGCATGGCCTTATATGGAGAAAAGCTGCCGCGGAGGCACATCCTTCTGAAAGGAAGTCCCCCATCTGCCCAGCCCTGAGCCTTTTCTGCCGATGGGCAGGCCCCACACAGGCAATGGCGTCCCCAAAGGCCCAGGTATCCATGGCAACTGGGAGCTTGCAGCCAAATCCAGAGGGACTGGGAGGGGGCTTCCCCTTCCAGCTCTGCAGCCAGATGACAGAGAGCGCCAGGGACCCTCCTGCAGGGGAACAGGAGCCAGGGAGGGAGGAGAGCGGGGTGGGGGTGAGGGCCAGGCCGGCCGGTGCTGCATCTGTCACCAGCACAGGCTGGCTTCCTGTGTCACTGTGATTAGCAGGGACTGCCCTCTCTACACATGGAAGCTTGGTGGCCAGCCGGCCCCGGGGCTGGTCTGTGGGCACATTGTTCCAGCAGCAGGAGCTCAGTTCTCCCATCTGTGTCCTATGCTGGTCATTGTCACAACCTTTCAAAACTCCATCATCACACGTCATAGACTCCCCTGGGCCCCCACGGGGGTGGTGGTGGGTGGTGGTGTGCATTCTGACTCCTGGAGACCCTACAGGACCGAGCAAACATGGCCCCAAGGCTGTCCACCCATCCTCACCGAAGCAGACTGCCTCGCCATCCTCCCGCAGAGTGGCTGCTTCTGTCAAAACCCGTTT